TTTTTGGGTTCATTGAGAACATGGTTGTTGTTCAATAATAAAATTATTCCTCAAAAATACAACTTGCCTAATAATTCTGCACTCCCTGTAGTTATGACCCAATGCCTAATACACATGTCACTGTGATGTTGTTTTTGCCCATTTTACCCACTGATTTTAAATGTGTAATAACTTCACACAATGCAAAGAGAGAAAAACTGTCCTCTTTTGCCATCCTGCCAGGTGAGCCACATATGTGCACTGACACAACAGGATTGGAGAAGTCACACTAGTGTGCAGCTACCTGCCAAGAATTAGAAGAGAAACACAGACAAATGTGTAGGGGATTTGCATTTTTTGCAAACAGAGTTATGGCTAAGTCAAAAAAAAGTCCCACTGAACCAAATATAAAGGCCAAAAAAGCAAACAAATTAAGAATGACATATAAGAGAAAGGCAAGAAGACAGATCATTCATATTTTGATGCAGTGCAGCTTGACGAAGCTAATTTGTGTTCCTCTTTCTGCAGATGTGAATGTGTTATTGCTGAAGGCTGATGTGAAGTAGGAGGACAAAGAAGAAGAAGGAGGAGGCTGGTATTTTTTCCTGTTTTGCACATGTTTCAAGGATACAGTGCATTGATCATTTCGGTCCATCACACAGTTACTCACCAAAATTATTCAGACATTAGACAACGATAATGTGACTCAGCATTTTTGGATTATTTGATTTGCTGACAAAAAAACCCAAGAAAAATCTACAGAGGAACTTTGGAAGATTGTCATCGGTATCATCACCAACAGCAACTGCAGCGACCTGAGAGGCAAACACCAAAACAAGATTATTGTCTTACATTACCCCCTGGTGGATTTGATGAGCCACTTTAAACTGATTTGTCTCAGTTGGGTTTTAGAGGCTCCTCTTCGGCAACAGAATCAAGGCCACAGCTGACATCTCTTTTGACCTTTTTTTCTTCTTTTTTGTACTCACTTTCTTCTTAAGTCGCAGTGCAGTGCAGTACACACACACACAGACACACACACACACTGATATAGGGCACGTGTATTTGTGTGTATACTTACAGCCCCTTATACAGCTTAATCATCATGCCAAAGACTCCACTACACCCCCAACAAAGTGGTTCCCACCCAAGTCATTGAGCTTCCTGAAGCCTGTGCCTGTCTTCATCATGGGATGAAACCCCCAGATAGTTGGGCGTGCGCACGTGTATGCGTGACATCTAATGGATGCTGAAACCCATTACAGGAATCAAACTGGGGACAAAGCCCTGCAGCCCATGTTTGTGTCAACCCGCCAGTTAACAAAGAAGTCACAAATTTATTCAGTCAGACTCTGAGTCTGCACATCTCCAACAACTGACAGAGCAGAGTGTTGTTTGTTGTTTTTTCTTTTTGTTTGTTTTTGTTTTTGTTTTTTCAACAAGAGGACTAACACTTTGGAGAAGTCAATAACCATAGTCTGGCTTATTTACAGTTAGCTTTACATAGAGCTTTGAGAAACCGGCAAGGACGACCTGAACTGTAAAAAAAAACAAACCTAAAAGACAACAAAAAAACCAACAAAAAATAAATGAAATAAAGTGGATTTGAGACTGAACCATTCTTTCCCCACCGTTGTTTTTTATTTTGGGGTTGACTTTGTATTGATGGCAGCCAAGCTGGTTACTGGAACTCTGATACAAGCTATGTTGGTTTTCCATTCTGCTCTGTGCTGTAAAATACAGTAACACAAATCAGTTTGCTGTCTGACTTCTGACGCCTTTACAAACATTAGAAATGTCTTTTTGCAGTTTACATTTCAATAGCCAATATCAGTTACCAGTTAATATTATGTTATTCACAGGAATCTTGAAGTGTTTATTGTATTTTTTATGGACAAATAATAAAAAGACGCATATAGGAGTTTAGTTTTTTTTTCCAGACATTCTTAATGGCTTAATTCTCTTTGATCCTATTTTGTAAACTATGATACAGTATGTAACTTTAACAATGAACAAAAAGTTTATTATTTAATAATAATGTATGTATTAGCCGTAGAATGTCGTAACCTGTACCTGGGGTCTTTTTTATAGATGTATATACAATGACAGGTTTCAACCATTAAATGTGACCATTTCACAATGAATTACGATGCACTGGCCTCATGTTCATTTTGTGAACTTATAACACATGAGGGCAGACTAATGCCTCCTGCTCCGTCTGGTTGATCCTGATGATTTTCTCCTGGCAAAACAAGATGAAGGTGAGGTGCCAATGGGGGATGTTAAAAAAAAGAAGATGCAACAAGTTTTCATTATAATAAAAGTAAAGACAAATTACTTCCCAGACACAGCTATAAACACACAGTGCCTCATTTCAGGTTTTACAGATCGATACTTTTGACCTTGCAGAGGTAACGTTGTTTGCTTCTCAGTTTGTTTCTGAAAGATGAGTGTCTGCAGATTCTAACAAGCTCCACCGACACTGCATGGAGTGGTCATAAAGCTTAATACTTTATGGGCATGATGCATTATCCTTGATATAGTTCTTCTTGTTTTCTTTTTTATGGGGGGAATATTCAAAATTGCAAAAATTTCAAGATAGAGGATCTGTGTCAATTCTCAGAAAGACACTGAGAGCAGCATTGGTTCGAGCAACCTTGACGAGTGCATTTTTTAAAAGTCAGTTTCATACTCAATACACAGAAGGATACAAGGAAAACAAAACTAAGTTTAGACTCCAAGAGATTCAGCAGTGTGTTTACTTGAATGCCATCATCAGCATGCTGACAAGGTCATGACCACATACTGATCATTAGTAGTTCTGTATGCTTTATTTTTGTCTTTGTATGTTATTTTACCATGCTACTACGCCAAGTGCATCACACAGCCCACATCTGAGAGAAATTGGGATGTTGTTAAAATAGTTTTGCAGATATCAAAAGTGTTGGACAAACTGACTTGATGATTGTGCTATATCCCATTAGGGGAGCCGAATGTTTAGAAAGGTCAAAATGAAATGTATATTTGTAGAACTGACTGGAAAAAAGAAGAAAAGAAGATTTTTTTTAAACTATAAATAATTGCACAAAATGGATGGCTGTTCATCCAGAAATATTTCATGTGTTTTTGGTGTATGCATGTGGGTCAGACTGTCCATGCAAAGGGAAGCACACTCACAGTTCACAGACAGAAAAGAAATAAAGTTACACTCGACCTCCTATACCTCTCCTAGCAGAGAGGGAAGGAAGAAAAACAGGTGGCAGGGGATTTGTGTCTGTGTCCCTTTCAGCCTTGTCTACCAATAAAGCCAACTGTCATTTCCCAGGGTTGCATCTGTGCACTTATCTTTCTCTGTTCCTCACCAAACACGGTTCTCTAATTAACATTTGAGAGTGAATAGATGAGAGCTTCTCAAAGGAGAAGAGGACGTTTTGATCAGTGCAGCAAAGGTCAACCTTATATGCAAGCTGATTCTGCTTGCAGAATATACACGGAGATAAAAGTGGAAAATATGAAATTTCCTCCACAATGCACCCTGTGAGTTTTCCCTAATGACTTGTGTCATCATTTTAATCTCTCACAATGACATGCCATTCATAGATATAACGGCTGAGTTCTGTGAACGCTGTAGCATTGTTGATAGCCGAAACGTGATGATCAGACGGGTTGTAAACAAGTAGCAGCTTCACAGATACATAACATCTGCACCGATGTGCATGCAACAGGAAATATGAGCAGAGCACTGGAGGTACGGCTGGTCAAAATTTCCCTTTTGACCTTTAGCTTTCACTCTGGCTGTCTCGCCATCTCACTCGTCCCTCTTTCAAGCTCTCTTTCTTCCATTATACTGACAAGCTCTGGCAGGCCGATTTGGAGGCCGAGGACAAATCAATACACCATCTAACAGCTGTCAGCTGCAGTTCCCTGTGTGTGCGAGAGCAGACAAGAGTGTATCTGCTTGTGTAGTTATCGCGTTCATTACTCTTTCTTTCATTCCTTTCTTCTCCACCTGCTTATACTGATCTGCCCTTTGCTTTTTTTTTAATGTCAGTGTCAATGAGGAATCAACTAATATTTACAATGACAGTGCATGACTTGAACAAGGAGGGTACACAACCAAGGAGGTTTCTGTTCTTTGTGTTCTTTGTATTGTTTTTATTTTATAGCTAAAAATAATTCTGTATGATGACATTTCATTCTTTATAGCTTTAATTAAATCACAGATGGGTTTTTAGCCATGCTCTCTTTGTCCACAACCATGATGTGATTCATATTAACCTCAGATGTATTGAGAGTGTGTGTGTCTTTGTGTGCATGTGTGTGTACCATCCATAGCCTGTCAGTTCCATCCGCCTTACTCTGCTCTAATGACTAGTTTGACCTTTCACAGAAAACTGGATGAATGACATGATCTCTGCGTCCATATCACTTCTGATCTGGCTTTTGGCTCTGACCTCTTTAAACACTCAGCTTACTTCCCCTCTATCCACGGCCTCACTCAGTCAAACTGTTTTTGTCCATCTTCCTAATATTCTAACTTCCTCATTAAGCTAATATTTCAAAACGTGTGCACACCCAACTTCTCTCTGAGCATTATTTCACCAGTTTTCACACCATTTTCAAGTCAGATGAACATCGCTGCACACGACTCGCTGAGCACACGGCTTCTGCTTTTGGCAGCAATGTGTTGTTTGCTCTTCAAAAAGTCTCTTTTCAAAGGTATTTTCTTTGTGCCAGATATGCTAACAAGGAATACTCCAAGGCAGCCTCTCTTTAATATACACTCACTTGCTACTTTATTAGACACTTAAGTAAACTGTGTTAGGCTGGCGTTAATTTTGCAGTGATTTGCCATCCACATATATGAAGGAAAAATAATATTAGACACATATTTCATGTGCAGTCCTGCACAACAACATTGCAACAAAAGCTGAAGCAATCTGAACTTCACAAAGGCAGAGTGTGTGCCAACGATGGACTGCAGGAAAGAACATTTTCCCATTATTTTAAATTGGGTGCCAAAGTTAAAACTTTTTGACTTAAAATGATCTTGGAGTGATTTATTTTACATGCAGTGAAAATCTGCCAAATCGAGTATGCAGAGCTACTCGCTGTGGTGACCCCCTGTGAAATTTTTATGTACAGCTAACCCATCTGTTATGTTTCTCAGGGGACAGCAATGATGTCCCTGACTCAGTTTGATCCAATAAACATTGCAGGTTTAGTTATCTAAAAGGGTTAGAGACCAAAAATCCCAATAAACAGTGTTTATACATAATTTGTCATTCCATTAGAAACCATTTCAATCACTATATTGTGCAGTAGAGTTGTTTACCTCTCACAGATAATGGTTTACTGAGAATAATTCACCTGTTCTTCATAAAAAATAAAATTTGATAAAAATGTGTTTTATTGGAAAACACTGGAAAAACCTACATATTAAATGCAATAGTTTTACATGACATTTTCTTTTAATTTTCTTTTTTAATTTTAATTATTTTTCTGGATTTTAAGGGAACTTTACATGTTACACTTTACATGAAGCTGCATCTGAGAATCTGGATGAGCTGACAGACACTGTGACATCATACATCAGTTTTTGTGAAGATGTGTGTGTGCCAACCAAGACCTTTTGCACATACAACAACAATAAACCATGGTTAACTCCTAAAATCCAACATCTTCTTAAGGCCAAGGAGGACACCTGCAGAAGTGGTGACAGGGCCCTGTACAAGCAGGTCAGGAACACATTGACCAGGGAGATCAAAGCAGCTAAAAAGATCTACTCCCAGAAGCTGAAAGAACGGCTCTCAACCAACATCCCTGCGTCAGTGTGGAGGGACCTGCGGGAAATCACTAGCTACAGACACTCGGACCGGCGGCTGCCTCGGGTCTCTGCTCCTCCTGCCTCCCCTTTCCCTCATCCACCTGCTGGCCTCCACCACTTGCTAATGTTACTGAATCTGTGGAAGCTACGCCATAGCCACCACCAAACAACTGAGTTATTTTTACACACTGGTCAGCATCCAGCTGGCCAATCCACCACCTTTTGTTGTTTATACCGTTACAAAAAAATAAATCATCGGCCCACAGAGCAAATGCCCGGTATGCCCGATGGCCAGTCCAGCTATGGTCGTGCCATCAGTTAACCCTTCGCGTGCCAGCTGTGGCATGTGTGCCTAGGGTTGCCGGCCCCTGCTCTACACCAATGACTCCATCTCCAAGAACTCAGCTGTTAAACTCCCGAAGTTTGCAGATGACACCACCGTCATTGGCCTCATTCAGGATGGTGATGAGTCTGCATGCAGGCAGGAAGTTGAGCAGCTGGTACTCTGGTGCAGTCAGCACAATCTGGAGCTGAACATGCTTAAGACTGTAGAGATGACAGTGGATTTCAGGAGACATCCCTCAACACTGCTCCCCCTCACCATATCAGACAGCCCGGTGTCCTTGGTACCACCATCCCTAGGACCTGAAGTGGGAGACCTCCTCCATCCTCAAAAAGACCCAGCAGAGGATGTACTTCCTGCGACAACTGGGGAAGTATAGTCTTCCACAGGAGCTGCTGATCCAGTTCTACACTCCAGTCATTGAGTCTGTCCTGTGCTCCTCCATCACAGTCTGGTATGGTGCAGCCACTAAAAAGGGACAGGTGCAGACTGTATGGGTATCATCGGCGCCCCCCTCACACCCTGGACACAGACTTTTTGACCTGCTGCCCTGTGGCAGGCGGTCTAGAAGCCTGCAGACCAGGACCATCCGACATAGGAACAGTTTCTTTCCCCTAGCCATTTCCCTACTAAACAGTCAAACTGTCACACTGCTCCCACTAGCAGACTGCAGCTGCACCTTACGTACATTCTGTGGTATTCATTTCATTTCTGTCATCCTGTATTTTATGTATGTAAGATTTAGATTGGTTATTTATTTTTGGTTTACACACCTTTGTGTATGTATGTGT